TTTGATTATTGAGTAGTAAAAAAGCAATAAATATTGATTTAATTATGTGAGCGCCAAGGTACTGCGGCGCGACGTCCGTACGGTATTATGTATGCGGGGAGTCGCGAGCACGGCCACCGGCCACCTGGCCCGCAGCCGGCCGCGCTCCGTCCTCACACGACCACTGCGCGCGGCACAAGGGACAATAACAAGCGCGACCCTCTGACACAAATAGAATTGCTCAAGTCGCAGGAATCGAGTTCGTTGCAGGCACTTAAGACGTTTCTTTTTCAGCTCCAGACTCAAACCTCTTTCTCCTATTTTAAAATAAGCAGCAACATGCAGCAGCAGCAAGCCAGTTAAGCCAGACACCGTGTTTATTAAAACACGACATATTTGCAAACGGCTATCTTTGTTTGTTCAGAATATTCATTTTCGTCATTTAAATAGACTTATACATCCATCCGCTACGTAACTGTCTCGACTGTTTACTTTGCAGTTGAACATAGAATTTCGCTTTTAATGAATATTATGATTTTGAATACGCATGCAATATAATTTTCACTTTCAACCCCCTGTTACAAATTTATAAAGTCCTCGCCGCACATCCCCGCACCCCGCGAGATGTAATGAGCTGTTCACCGTATCATCAACTCCGCTCGACAGCGCGACGTGCGCGGGAAGTCAGGTGTGCAGTTTGTGCGTAGACATGTGTTGTATTAAGAGACTAATTTACATTCATTCTACGACTTTATTTTTTGATACAAACGCAATTGATATCGTAAAATACGAAGCGAGCATCGTCGGCGCCGCGGACTGGTCTGGGTGTCGGCGGATTTACAATTATATTTTCTCCGACAGCATTATTCACATTTAAAGTATACGAAACCTTTTTAATTATAATTAGAATGGCACCATTCCTGTCGTGTCCTCATGTCTTGTGGTCAGCCTACTGGTAGCGCAAACTCACTGGCGTCGGGATCTAAGTGTAGCAAGTTTTTGTCATTTCCTCGAGTTCCCAGAAAGATCGCCCCGCCGCCGTCGCCAGCTGCGGCACTCAGCCCGCCCCTCGCCGCCTCTCCACTGCTGGCTTATATTACACATTGAACTCCCGTTTTGTCTCTGTTGATAACTAAAATGGAGCGATGTATGCAGCGAGGCGTGAGGTGCGGGGCTGGGAGGCAAAGGTTGCTGCGGACCTCGCGGCTTCCGCATTCACTGCAGCTAATTCGATTAGCGCGCTCACACACTGCGCCGAAGAGCCTCTGTTAATTGGTCAGGTAACTACAATGTGATACTTATATGTATTGTTCTTTTGTCAGGTGGCGGTTGGTGAGGCGCGTGGGGCGCGCGGTGGGCGCGGCATGGCGCGGTCGCGCGCGCGGCCGGGGCGCTGAGGCGCGGGATGTACGGCGCCTACTACCCTTACTTGTACGGGCGCGGCGCCGCGCGCTCCTTCCACCACGCGCCGCACTTCCAGTACGACCGGGTGAGTGCTCACTGCTCACTGCATCACCTCACGATACACATACACACACACACACACACACACTCACACACACAGCAATACCTTCAACGTAATAACTCTTCTTCTTTTAATACCTCCAATACATTAGTGGAGGTTGGCCGTCAGCTCAGCGAACCCTTCCCTGTCTTGAGCCAAGCGAGAAAGTTGTCAACGCTGGTAATCGCTCAGTCTCACTTCTCCGCCTACGTAACTCGTAATAACTCTACTTATTGCCTAATATTTAAATTGAGAGACCATTTCTGAGACTTATTCTTCGACGATTTTTGAAAAGTTATTAAGAAAATCTTTATCTAATCATGAAACATATAAAGTGTATTTGTTACCAACTGCAAAGGATATTTCGGTAAGTTCTAAAATTTTCCGATAAAACCGAAAAAAAAAGTTTTATTAAAAATAATAAAAGCTATAATACATACTAGTACATATATATACAAAGTAATATAGGGCGTGATACATTAAAAGTTCCGGGTGTATGTTACAATTACAAATTGTTGTCAGGTTTTATTAGTTGCGTCTCTGTGGTATAATCCACTTCATTAATGTCGTGTTGATTGATTGTTGTTGTTCTCGCTGTTACTTCATTTTTGATTAAATGTCTTCAATAATGTCTTCAATTAAACTTTGATTCTTGTCCATACAAAGAACTTGTGCCTTTTTACGTACTAAAAGCAAACATCCCGTATAATTTGGGTGTGATGAGCAAAGCTGTAGGAACGGGCTTATTGAGCGAGTGTGAGGATTCAGCTGATTATCAGTTAACACTTGCTCCGCGTCCCAGGTACGCTGGACGACCTGAAGCTTTTAATTTTGCTGAGCCGAAACGCGGTAACTTATCGACATATCCGATAATAATTTTCGATCGATAAGTTGCATTATAAATATTTATATAATTAGCAACGCATAGCGCTCACGCCTAGTGTAGTTGCAGCAGCAGCCAGCCGGCAGCATGAGGAATGTGTTGAATTCGCGAGAGCGACAACGCGACGCGTCTTATGCGGAAAATCGTATTAAGTGATCGTATTATCCGGTCCCTGCTGCTTTAGTTTCAAAGCATTAGGTCGCATTACGACGCGCAAAAACACGCCAAGTGCGAGCGGCTCCCACGAGCCTCGCGCCCCGCACCCCGCACACCGCGCCCCGCTCCACCTGCCCCGCACCATTGCGTTATATGGAACTCTCATCATTTTATTTCATATCTTATACGTACGATATCTTTTTCTTATCAGAAGCTACCGTTCAATTTTAAAAGGTTCTTTAATTTTAATATAAAAAAATATGATAAAGACTTTTTGCAGTTTTGCACATTCGTATTCGTTGTAAATAAACATGAATGTTGATGTTCATGGTAGATGGTCTGTCTCCGCGCTGCGAGCTCGCGCCAGGGCAACGACATGGCCAGAGAGCGGTCTCGGTTGCCGTCTATAGCTCACTAAAGCTTTTGACAAGGACAGTAAGATTATCAATGTCATTGAAAATGTTACATCCTCAGAGTAAGTTTTCGCGAAAAAACTGTTGCAAACATTTTAGACTGAATAACGACGTGTTTATTTTATAACATGCAAAGTGTAATGTAGTCGCTCTTAAGAATAAAATACTAGCTGACTTCGCCCTCGAGCAGGATGAATTTGACGCACGTAGAGCTGGATGTTGCACTTTGCCAACAAGCCGTCACTTGGAATAGTGCCTCCGCCCGCGTCCTCACCCACCAACTAGTATCTATTCATCTTATTACGGTTATATAATGGGATAAGATCTAGATAGAGGTCCGGAGCATCGCGGCCGCAGGGGAAGGCGGCGGGCGGCGGGCGGCGGGCGGCGGGGGCCGGGAGAATACCAAGTCCCAGCTCCGAGCTCACTCCGCTGCTTTTTGTGGCACCGAGTGAACGCGCTTCTACTCTAGGGTTCCGCAGACCATCCTTTTTAACCTAATATTATTTTAGTGACAGGAAATATTTTTAATATGCCTCAAAAACATTATGATACTCAATGGGACGAACCAGAACGTTGTCTAGTTGCGCAAGTATCACCGTCCACTGCTGTCTGTTGACTGCTGAAGTTGGGTTGCTTGTTGCCCGGTAGCGTCGCTGGCATTGTCCGCGTCCTTTCATCACGCCGTCCGGCGTTGCGGTGGGGGACATCGCGGAATATTTGCACTTAAAAAAGTAACTGTGGTGATTTCGTAGCGAGTCGCCGTTTATTATATCGTTTTTGGGGATATGTTAATATTTATTGTTTCCATAATTTTCAGCAGTGTGTAAAATGTTTTTACAAAATTAGGGAATTGCTATTGAGTGCGGACAGTGTGTGCGCGCCCTTAGCGCTGCACGGCAAGTCGTTATTGACTTGTCTAGGCCAGGAGCAACTTTCCAGTCCGCTTCAACCGCTGCGACAATTTTTTTCGTAATTAACGCTTTATATACATTTTTAATTGATCATTAAGCATATTTGTAAAGAGTTAGCGCGCCGATACCGATATAGGTACATTCCGCGCCTCCCCCGCGCCCAGCAATCTAGACCCGCCCCGCTCCACACGCACGCACTCAATCTGCAGCACGCACTATTCCCGCGTAATAATGTTGATTCAGGAAACGTATTGAAGGGTTCGAGATGTGGGCCTATCGGCGGATGTTGGCCATAAGCTGGACTCACAGGGTATCAAACGAAGAGGTTCTGCGACGGGTCGATCAAAAACGGGAACTTTTACAGACCGTAAAGATGAGAAAATTATCTTACCTAAGAAATCCTAGTTGCGCAACATCCGAGAGTGGACAGGGGTTCCGAGTGCCGCCCAAATATTTCGCCTCGCAAGCGACAAAAGAAAATATAGAGTAATGATCACCAACCTTCGTTAGTCGGTGAGGCACGCCAAGAAAAAGACGAATGTTGATTCATCGAAACGTTATGGAAACACCGATATCTTTACAAACTATGATAGTATAATGTGTAGGTACTTCAATGTAATGTGACTCCACAAAGAAATCATTACAGATAGTAGATTATATTTTTGCGTTCTTAGTGCTATTTAGACAACGCCAGTACTGCGATAGTCCATCCCGCTCTGTTATACGCTATAATCTATGTTGCGTCCTCCAGTCCTGCCCACTTGGGGGACATTTAGCCCACACTATCATAAATGTGTGAGTTAACCACCACAAAGAGCCACACCGCGTAAGCGCTTCTCAATTTCTTGAAAATATGATGGATTGAGCGAGAGTAGTTTTGAGGGGAAGCGTTGTGTGGCGCCAAAGAACGTGATTAATAATATCTGAAAATAAAGTCGCATGTGGTTTTTGCAAGACAAAGTATGTAGTAATTGAAAAAGTGAAATGGGAAAACGGCGCGGCGGCGGCTTTGATGTCGGCGGGCGGCGCGCGTCATTACCCACATGGAAAGTGCATTCGCAATAACAACGGCAAGTGCACTTTTTACAATGATATGAGCTACTTCCCAAGCGCTCGAAACCACGAATGCGAGACAGAGAGGCAGAAATAGATGATAAAAACAATATCCTACATTGAAATACAAAAAAGAAATGTCTCAAAAATACAACCAATTAATAGCTACGCACAATAGCAGCAGGCCAACATTGTTTTGTCTACTGGTAATAATAGAACGAAGGAAATATCCAACCGCCAGAAACACGTGAGCAAACATTCGGAGATTATTTACGAGTAGGAATGTGACCGCGTGCAGCCACTGCCGCCGACATGACCGGCCGCACTTCCCGACACTCTGCCCACCTCACAGTACAAGACAATATTATTATTTTACTCCCATTTCACACCTGAAGAGTATAAGCTTATTTGTCTTGAGTCGATTGTATCTGAAGTGAAACAATAATGCACGCACAGTGTGCACCAACATATACTCGTACATATGATTTTGTCTCCTCCTCCATCGCGGTTTCCATAATCGTCTTCCCAATATCTGTTGTAGATATCACAATTACAATATAACATATGTACGTAGGTTTGCATACATAGTGCACAACTTTGTAGAACTTACGCCTCCCACTCCATAGCTGTACTTTTAACCGTCTTCCAATAGGAGGTTCTCAATTCGTATTTAGAATTTTCATAAAATTTATTTAAAACTAGCGGTCTAGTACCACCTGCTAACTAGTACCGGAGACTCCGTCTTCTCCGTGTTCTTCCACACTAGGTTCTATATCGAGATCCGTTCAGTCGTTCTGGAGATACCTTCAAACAAACATCCATCCATCCATCTAAACATTCGCATTTATAATATTAATAAGTGTCTCAGACCGCATTAGCGTATGGAAGAGCAAGGAGCTACACGGCAGGTTCCATCGAGCCTTAACTGGCCTGATGTGAACCAATTATCTTCCGTGGCTTGGCTGCGCTTCAGCAACCTTTTTGGGGAAACTGAAGGTTTTGTCTTTGCAATTATGGACGAAGTCATCGTAACGAACAACTACCGAAAACATATCCTAAAGGATGGTACGATTGACATTTGTCGGGCATGTCGTCGTCCCGGTGAGTCCATTAGACATATCGTTTCCGGCTGTTCTCGGCTTGCGGACGGTGCATACTTGCATAGACACAACCAAGCGGCCAATATCATCCACCAGCAACTTGCCCTTAAATATTAATGTGGTCCCTTAATTGTGGATGCTGAGGTACCGTATTACCAGTACCAATCTTCACCCGTTCTGGAAAATAGCGATATCACGCTCTACTGGGATCGACCTATTATTACGGATAGGACTATTGCTGCCAATAGGCCCGATATAGTAATAATAGACCGGTCTGAGAGTTGTGTAATGTTAGTCGATGTCAGTATTCCACATGACGAGAATCTCGTGAAAGTTGAAATGGAAAAAGTGTTAAAATACCTAGATTTGGCTCACGAGGTTACCACCATGTGGCGTATGAAATAGACTAACATTATTCCGATAGTCGTATCGGTGAATGGACTAATAGCGAAGAGCTTCGACCGACATCTCAAGAAGCTCTCGCTAAACAGTTGGATTAAGGGCCCGATACAAAAGGCAGTTATCCTGAGAAATCGCACTAGAAACCGCACGTATCCTGAGAAGGTTCCTGTCTCTGCAGCCCTGACCACTGGTTGTTTGAGTCGTGGGACTCCGCAGCCGGTGGTGCTCTATTTTTAATGTAATATATTTTGTATAATTTTTTATTTTATATATGAAATGTAATATATTTAGAATAAGATAAATAAATGAATACGATGGTATAAGTAAATAGTAAGATATTAGGAAATTGCTAGAAAGAAAAATACACCCTGTATTTTTCTTTCTAGCAATTTTTGTTGACTAAAAAGAGTGCATAGGAAACTCCGCGAAATCCATCTTATTGAATGTAAATTTCACCACAAGTGCGCGCAGTCAGTAAAGCGTATGAGACATGTAAACAGTACACACCGCACGGCCGAGCACAGCGGAGCACAGCCCAGCTCAGCCCAGCTCACAGTATGGCGATTAGTTATCAAATGATGTATGTATCAGCTCCCGACAAAGACAAGTCAACATGTCGCGCGACGCAGCGGCGGCGTGGCGGCAGCGCGGCGCTATGCAGCGCACACGCATTCTACTCAAATTGTCGTAGTTTTTATACCTATTAGACGTACATTTTTTACTGTGGGCTGTATAAATTATGTTTAAAAGTAGCGACTGCGACTCAGTCATACATGCCTCAATTATTTAACAAAATTAATGACCTATTATTTCAAAGTTTGTGTTCCCAACATTTTTAAAAACCTCGTAAGTGTCCATAAAAACATATCCACAAAACAAAGTGAGTGCGGTCGTGCCGCTCGTCGATTGTTTTAATTCGGTCATTAAATAATATTATAAATAACTTGCGTTACTGGCGTAGATTACATCGCATGCCATATTTTATAGCGGGCCGTGCTTTGCATGCCGGCGGGCGGCAGGCGGCGGGCGACGGAAACTTAGTGCGCCGTCAGCCGGCATTCCGCAACTACTGCCAATACCGCGCTCCCCGCCCGCTGCTGCTGGCGCACCCCGACACCGGACCTCTCTCATTCATCTAGCTACAGACATGTCCTACATACATATGATGTCCCTTCGTTCCCTTCCAAGCCTTTCCTTAATAGACAAGAGCGGGAAGGGAAGGCCCTTTGATTTGAAAAGGCCTCTTTCACTACACGTGCTAGGCGAATCTTGCGTCCACTTCACGCTTGCTCGGTCGGTCGGTCCCGTTTTGCACCCGTCGGGCGGACCATTTGCGCTGCGGCGCAATCTACTACTCTAAAACATTTTAAAAAATGTGACGTAATTCTCCAATAAACTAACACATTTGTAACTTTATAATATGTGAATCAGATAAGAATAGGCAGTGCGGCAACCGGCAAGCGGCCATAACAATATTTTGTCCGGTGTAGATGTTCGGAGGTGGAGTGGAGAGGGCGCGCTATCGCCGGCCATCGATATCATTAAATTAATGTGTCTTTGTTTGTCGCAACTATATACATAATTTAAGCAGAAGCGGGCCTCTTTTCCACGTTATCGTCTTTTTGACATCGAATAATTGAATATTAAGGAAAATTTCAAGGAAATATGTGTCGATTAGGTGTGTTGCGGCTGTCGAGTGGCGGCAGGTGGTAACGGCGAACGCAGGCGCATGGGCTCTTACCGACTGGCCGACAGGGCAGACCGACAGAACGATCGTTTTGGATTTTTATATGGCGATGAGATCGTGACGCGATAGGCGACGGCGAAGGGCTCCGACAGCCGCGCCGCGCCTTACTGACCCGCACACTTCTTTAGCTAGTAAAGCCGTGGACATCTAATGCTAAGACGCCTAGGACTAAGAAGCTCTCGGGTTCTTTTATACAGTTTAAGAATTAATGCAAATAATGCAAGTATTGACGTCTTCCTATTGCTAAGTGTGCCAAAGACAGAGGTTATCTTTTAACGCAAATTTTATGCCTTTTTTGTTGTTTATGTTTCTATCCTAATGGATATGTAAATATAAAATGTAGCGAAAGCGCAAAATAAATAGCTCTAAAAACAATACAAGTTTAAAGACAAAGATGAGTGGTAGCGTTTAAATGTGTCGTGCGGTATGCGGCGTGCGGTGTGCGGCGTGCGGTGTGCGGCGTGCGGTGTGCGGCGTGCGGTGTGCGGCGTGTGGCGTGCGGCGTCCGGCGTGCGGTGTGCGGTGTGCGGCGTGCGGCGTGCGTGCCGCGTGTGGCGCACGCCGGTGGCCGAGGCGAGGCGATAAACGAAACATAAAGATAACGTTTTATTTTTTTTAAGACATAAAGGCCAACATTTTACTACGTACTTAAAATAATTAAAGAGAATTTCTCGCCCGCTTCGAATGGTCATAGATAAGTTTTTAAATACATAATAACTTCCACAAGAATTTGTGTACGAGTTAACGACAAAGTGTTAACCGATAGGAGATTCGTCTATATCAGATATTTGTTGACAATTTGCCTGTTGTCTGCTCCCTGCTGCCAGCCGCCTGCTGCCTGCCGCCTGCTGGAGGAGGCTAAATGTTTAATAAAACAAAAGATCCCACATTGTTTTCAGGGAACGAGGAATTCCAATTCCGGAAATCGACAGATATTTTGGAATGTCGAACGTTCGAACTCGAATCGGCTCCGAAGCCTTTATTAGTGGACTTTGTCAGCGGAATGGCATTCGTCGGCCTACGCTTCACTGTGACACACCTCTGCGCTCGAGGGACGACGGGAAAAGGATTCTGTTATCTATCGATATGTAGTGACATGTCCGAAAGTACTAGACTTAGATTTAGAGAAGGTGTATGAAACACTTTACTGGTACTTAATAAGTTAATGTTGGCATTTAAAGTTGTAAAGCAGGCAGTTGCCTTTATTTAAACAAGTGATCCTATACGGATTCCGTTTTTTTCCCTTTCGAAGTACGGAACCCTAAAAATGTTTGAAATATAATAAATACTGATTGTAAATTTGACAGTCAGTGAAGCAAACGTCCGGTAACACCATTGCAAGGAGGTTTGAATGTTTTCCCTTGCTCTAATTATTGTTAATGAAGCGTTTCAATTGAAGAAAAAAACTTGTTAAGCCAACCACATATAGATCTACCAAATTCTCATTCCTTTTACACTTTTTTTGCTTGCTAAGTCATCGAACAAGCAAACATTATCTCTTGACTCAATATTGTGTACGTACATAATTGCTCACTTTGCCCTTTCGTCCGTCAATAACCCGTCGCTTGTGCTCGAGTAAGTTGTGGACTGGAGAGTGGGCCTGTGAATAGCAACTTTTGACCAGTTATCGTATGCAGCTGAACGTGCAAGCCGGCAATGGCAGCGAGTACGGCGCGGGCGCGGCGGCGCTCAGCTCCGGCTCGGCCTCCTCCGGAGCGCAGTCGCCCGCCTCGCCGCCGCACGCGCACCTGCCGCTCGCGCCGCACGCCCACGCCCACGCGCATGCGCACGCGCACGCGCATGCCCACGCACACGCGCACACGCACGCGCCACATGCTCACACCGCACATCATTCTCCCCGGCTGCGCGCCAAGGAAGAGGACTTGTCTGCGCATGGACGCGCCAGTGCTGACGGTAAGTTGTTGCTGTGACGGCTCATGACTTCACTCAGCTTCATGAGAGAATAGTGTTAAGAATGTTGTTTGACCGTGGGCAGGCGGAGGGTCCTCGGAGTCGGAGGGCGAGTGCGGGGCGGGCGCGGGACGCGGGCGCGCACAGTACGTCAGCGCCAACTGCGTCGTGTTCACGCACTACGCGGGCGACGTCGCCGCCGTCGTCGACGAGCACTTCGCGCGCGCACTCGCCATCGATAAACCCAAAGGTCAGTACCAAAATATATATTATACTATTATTTTTAATGTCTCCAAGTATTGTTTGCATGAGTCCTCGCAAAATTAGCACTGCCAATGTCTGCGTTCAGGTCGAACACGGATTTATCTTTGGACAAAATGTGTTATTGGATTAAAGACTAGAACTAGCAGTAAAAGCTTGCAACAAAAAGGAACAAGGAACAACTGATAACATAACCTAATTCATAGATATAGATAAAGACGATATGTAGATATAGTATACTGGTACATTGATAAGTACGGGTCAGAGGGACGACAACTGAGGCCTGCTCCGCACCGACCTCCTGCAATGTTATGGGCACTACAATATGTACTTTCTATACAAATTCTCACGACCCAAATCGTTCGAGAGTTTAGCCGCAATGGGTCGCATCGCATACATGCTCCAATAAAACTACCGTGCATTTTCATCGGCCATTATGAACCCACGCTGTCCTAAAAAATAAACCATTAAGTCGTTCGTATTTAATGAAACTTTTTGTTGTAAAAGGAAATGTGAGTTAGTAGCGTAGTAGGGAAGAGGCACGGGGGTTGCGGGACGGGTTCCACCGACAGGGGCCGAGGACATGCGGCCGGCAGATCAAACGGCCGCAGCTAATTAGTGATTCCCGTCGAGAAAAACACGCTGCCTTGTCCCCCCCCCCGCCCCCCTGCGACGCTAAACTCGACGACCCTCGCGCGTCCAGCGCAAAGCACCAGTCTTGTGCGTTGTGTTGTGCCACAGCGCTATGCGTTCTCTCACAGCTGATATGTTGATGTCTAGAAAGACCTTAAATGAACACAAACCGTGCGCTGACAATGCGAATTACTCATCCATTATTTAAATGAAACGAACGCAAAGGAAGATTTATGTACATATGTATGCTCGAGCACATTATTATACAATTCAATGTCTATAAATGTATCTATTTTAATTTGAACAACATCAATAATGAAATTGACATTTGTTTATGGAATTGGTAGTAGTTCAAAAGTTAAGTAACGCTCGGTACAGGACATGAGGAGTGAGAGTGGATGAGGAAAGTTTCCGATGTTATAGTTCATCTGCTATTATTTTATCATTCAAACATCATCACATAAATTAATAAAAACTGGAATTAACAAAAAAACTTACGAAAACAAGTATAAAGTTTTTCCCTCAACTTCGTTAAATGTTAGGATTACAATTTTGTCACGAAATTTTTTTTACGAAAAAACTGAAGAGCGGGTGAGGGGGACGGGGAGGGGGAGGGGAGCACAACTCCCGGAGTGATATGAAGTATGTTCCATAGTCTATGTAGCTGACTGTTAGGTATGAACTCGATGAACCACGTAAACATGTTATATTGTCGTTAATAAATAAAAAAATAATTATTCAAGCTAGTTTTTAATATTTATATCACCATAAGTCGTTTCACATAATTGTAAAAAAAATGCATTTTGTTGCAAAACGCGGAAGGTTTTAATGTTGTTGTAGTTACCTTAAGAAGAAATAATTGAGTCAATTACTAAGCATTATCTAGTACAGTCGTATAATAGTAAGCTTAAGGCTGGCTACACACTGCGTTCTCGCCGCCGCCTCGACGCATCGCCGCCGCACGGCCGCTGCGCTACGCGCTCTGACCTTCTGCTTACTCTAGTTTACAATAGTAACATTTGCAGCTTGTATCTTTCTACACAACTCTGATTGACAACAACATTGTTTTCACTGGCAACACGTGACGAAATATATCGTTGTCCCGCATTTTCTTAGACAGAATGAGAGAGACACAAATATATTGTATTAATATTTCGGCGATGTTTTATTGTTCTTTCTTTCTATTCTTTTAAAAAGATACAATGTCGTCGTTTGTAAAAATAAAAAAAATTATAGCGTGGATGTGTTTGAGAGATATGTGGGTGATTATAAAAACGTGTAGAATTCCATAAATATGCGAATACTGAACGTGGTGTTGCCGCAAGGGCGTGGTGCGGTGCGGTGCGGTGCGGTGCGGTGCGGTGCGGTGCGGTGCGGTGCGGTGCGGTGCGGTGCGGTGCGGTGCGGTGCGGTGCGGTGCACGCGCTATCTATACTAATGTTAATGCACGTAACATATAAATTCAAAACTTATTGGACCAATTTCTAAAACTGTTTTGCCATTATATAGCTGCATTATATAAACAACTATAAAAGTAATATAACGGCCGAACATTAATATAAACATTAGAAAATTGTAGATCTCTAAAAGTGCTACATAAAAGTCAGTGCTGTGGCATATCTTAAACGGTTTACCAATAATAACCACATTTTCATTTAATAAGGGTCATTAAAATCGTATGTCATTTGCGGCGTTATTTTGTTAGTTTTCATATTAATCCCTATCTAAATTAATCAGGAGAAATTAAAGTTCATTAAAATTGCCAACTGTATGTATCTACCTATATATATATATAAACCTGTATAATAATTAAGAAGATAGTTTGACCACAAAATATTATCGTATCAGCTCGTGAGCGTGGTGCGGCCGAGATTACAAGGTTATTACTTAATGAAAGGGACATCTAAGGGAAGGGTACTGATATGCCACAAAAAAGATCAGATTCTTTGGCAGCCTGAGGCGGATCGCTGATAAGTAATTTATTAACAAGCTGCATGACTTTCGTATAACCCGTCGCAAATAGAGCTTTGTATTGACCACGTTACATAATACCTAATATATGAAGTATTATAATATATAAATAATCAATGAGTAGGTACATAGTTTGATGATAAGACAACATTGTTATTCTTTGTTGTGTTATTTTATTATTCACACAACTCATTTTATACCTTGGATTCAGACAGATCCATAGCGTTCATTAGAACATAATGCTTTGTGCGGGGGTGGCGAACCGCAATTAAATGTGTCGCAAAGAAGGACCGAGCGCTGATTTACCGCGAGCGAGAGCGCGACCGTGTTCCACGAAGCCGTAGAGAGTTTTTTCGCAGTTGGCAGTACCGGGCGGGTCCAGCTCTAGCCCATTGTTGCCGGCCGCGCATGTTGCGACCCGCGGCGACAACTGCCGACACACAATGTAGCAACAAATGTCAAAACAAACACAATAAATCAATTAATAAAATTGGAGTGTCTGTAGGTGCCATTGAAAGAAATAAGTCGTTTATGTATAATATGTATTACCGTTGCTTATAACGACAAAAAATCCTAAAATTTATATCCGTCGGACTATTTGCAAATCCGCATTTGTTCCGGATAATCACCTAAACGGCAGTCCTGATTCTGACGGGACTTAACTTACTGAAAGGGATCTGACGTGGATAGGTGGTTCGTTCAAACGTGCGGAGGTAAGCTAGGCCATTTTTTATCTAGCACGCTGTAACTACACATTACACACGCAACCCCATGTGCGACGTACGCGACGCGACGTCCGGCAGGCGACTGTCCTTCGCCGACAATTTGTATAACGATGTGTGATGGATTGTGTCTAAATAAAAGGCGGCACTTTTTGCCCGCAGATATCAGTTGCGGAATAGATAATGAATATGTATGCAATGCGGTGGAGCGAAGCCGCTCGGCACACCCGGCCGGCTCTTCACTTCTACAGAAGCATCGCTAGCGCGCGCACGCTAGCCCCGCGGTACAGTCGTGTCGCCCACACGCTCACACGCTCACACGCTCACACGCGCCATCTGATCATGGACCAAAAAGTCCTCACAATTTTGTTAACCTAACCTAACTTGTCAAATAAATGACAGTGCAATATAAAAGTTTTCGACCGAACATAATAGTTGTCGGCAAAATAAAAACTACCATATGAATAACCTAATACCTTCCTACAGACAAGACAAAATTCGCTACAAACAAATGTTTGCTAAGATTATTTTGTCAAGTGTAATTTGATGAAGAGATATGCGAGGCTTGAACAATGCTCGCTTTTGAGAAACTCCGAGCTCGTGCTTGGCGGCACACGAGAGCTTTCTGTAACAACTTAGCGAACCCCCTCGCCTCCCCCGCCCCACGACTGCCACAGCCCTACCGCTCGCGGCAACTCACACGTTAGCTAAAAGCGCAAGTTACACGTTTATGTTACAAGTTTATTGAACACTTTGTTAATTTGGAGAGTGTATTAAAATATAAGGTTTCGCGGGAGTTGTGCTGCAGCTTCATTAATCTTATCATCTAACCAGCAAGGTGTCAGTGAGCAGTGCGCGGCTCGCACATGCTGTGTTTTGCTACATATTGATGGGATTTGTTCTTGGTCTGCCGCATAGAGAGCGGTCACTTTAGTTAACCTGGACGTTGGTCTACGGCGCACTTGAAACTGTAGGAGTCTTTAGGTCTAAAAGTTACCACCGACGAAAACAACATTCACTGAATCTTTTTTAATGTTTGTTTTCGCTTTATGATAACTTATTCATATATGCGATTATCCGACGGCGGCGAACCGGTCTGCGAGCGAGCGCGCGCCCCACATATGTCACAAATCCAGAACTGGTGCTCAGCTATTTAAGGAATGAGTGAATGAATTCAAATCCTCCTAATTGACTGTCGATGTCACTCGCCGTACTCGTACGAGTGCGACTACCTTACACCCCACCTCCGCCGACGCCGCTATCGTTATCTGCCGAGCCATACCGCCGCTGCATTGTCCCGGGACCGACGACAGCGCGTCAAACCACCTATCATTGCTCATTGCATTTACTTTTTGCGGCGCGCTACTTTTTTGGTATAAATTTGCAAACGAGCAAAAAGCCACCAATTGCAGATGCGATGCCTACCTTTTAAAAATGGGGGATGGGACGCGTGGAAAAAGGATATTTCCCCTTTCTCTATTTCCTCTTTCGTCATATCCACTTCCCCTTTCCGTTCATTTCTTATCGGAAAAGTATAGGAAGGGAAAGGAGACTAAAATTAGGGCTCCGACACGCAGCGCTACAATTATTTCTGGTCACGTACATACAAAAACATAGCGTTAAGTCTCTGAGATGGCCTTATGCTTTTGTATGTTCGGCCGTTAAGGCAGCGGTCCGTTAGCAACGCAAGTATCCGTGTCTCATGGTCACCAGCATGCGAGTTCTACTTATATATCTTTGTTTGGCAGCGGATGTATAATCATGTAAGTTGTAGGGGTCATAACAATTGTATCGTATTTTTTAGTTAGAGTTTGTAATGTTGCTACTTACAGGTATACAGTGCCAGTGTAGATGTGAGTGTAGTTGTAACATGTGTGGTGGGTGTGTGTTTGTGCAGAGAGCGTGCCGCTGGCGTCGCGCAACCTACCGGCGTCTTTCTTCAACGCGGCGGCGTGCGGCGCGGGGGGCGCGGGCGGGCCTGGCGGGCCGGGCGCGCCGGGCTGCGGCCTCGAGCTGTACGAGTACGACCCCTGGCATCAACCGTACGGCTACGCGCGCGACTACCAGCACGTCGGCTACGGCGGGCTGCTGCTGGGCCGTGGCGGGCTGCACGCTCAGTACAAGCCCGTCGAGTGGGGCGCTCAACACGCGCACCTCGACCCCGCCGCCTGCGCGCCCTACTCCTACCCCGCCGTGCCCGGTCAGTAACTTGCACCTCGCATACAATACTATACTATACAGAATACGAGGTTTCCTTAACAATGTAAGTTTCAGCAAAATCTGGTCTCAGCTCAACTGACGTTACTTGGAAAAAAAGAAATATTTATATGCCACAATAAACTTAAATATATACATACATATAATACGACTAATATAAGTAGGTACATAAAACACATACGTATGTGAAAATACATTATCCTTTCCTCAATCATATATTCAGTAATTATTAAGTACATACTTTTACACTTTCGTCACAAATATTAGTTGTTAAATTTTAGGTTTTACCGTAGTTTTGGCCTTTACCTTTGTATACCTAATAGAAAATACCACAAAGATAAATGTGTAACGTCGTCTTTTTCTCAGTGAAGAAACTCTTGACAATGTCAGATATTAGAGATTCCTGTAGCGGCGGCGCTCACACGACCCATTGTCCGCGCTGCCACATTCCTACTCAATTATAATATTTTAAATAAAATACTCTTAATTAGTAAGGCGTATTACGTAGTTCCAGAGCAATAGAATAGGCACGTAGCTAAGCGAGCTGCGAACTTTTGAATGGAGAGGTCGGCTGCGGGAAGCGGGCGAGTGGAAGGCTACCACCATCTTTGTGCCGGGAGATGTCCGAGCTAATTTATAAGATGGGCAGCGAGCGGCGGGGGGAGGCGGGGTGAGGCGGAGCGCGGCGGCAGATAAAAGCCGCCGGCGACCTCGCATTCCTCAGCCCTCCCCCTGCAGCCACTTACACTCACACGAGAGTATCGTTGACTTTTTGCTGCGGCCGCTCAGCGCTCGCCGCCCGCCGCTCTCTGCCCACCGCTCGCCGCTCGCATCCTTCATCTGATATTCTGGCGAAAATACGACCGCGCCGTGATACTTCGTTCTCAGTCTTAAGCGTCTTCATGTACATGTCGTCGGTAGTAGAATATTGTCAAATACTAAATTTTGATTATTATTGTCAGTCATGTAGAAGCGGGTGTCGTGGGGCGGCCATTTGTTGATAGAAACAAACGATGCAGAGCGGCGGCACCGCGCGGCCTTTGAAGTATTTTATTTGTTCAAAGAGATTCCAGGCGCGTTGTGAATTCTTTAATAGTGATGATTTAGCGGCGGGGCGGGCGCTTTGCCGACATGAAACACGACGGCGCGAAGGTTACTTGTCGCGCTACCGCTGTTGCTGCTGGCTACATATACCCGCGACCACGAACCGCAGCCGCTCGACAAAGACACCACCGCACTAATCGACTGCCGCCACCACCGCACCCCGCACCCCGCGCCTGTCAGTAGGGGCGAGGGTGGGGGGCAGTGCCGCTTTGTGCGCTCTCAGACGATCCCTTTGTAAGGAATTGTTTCTTTGTATACCTACGTTTGGATTAACCTTCCCTCCGATTGTTTAGTAATGAGGATTCAAAGGTTGGAAAACAATACGACTGCATTTTATTACCACCTATCTAGTTACCTGTCCAGGCTTACTCTTCCAATAGAAAGACGAAACATAACCTTAACTAACTAAATTATTTTAGCTCATTCAGAACAAAGGTGCAATCAAATGTTTTCTCGCTATACACATATATATATTTGGGAATCGCAGAGAAAATGACGAAAAAATATATAGTCAACATCGACGTCATCATCCATTGCGACCAAATGATGTGACACAAGTCTATTGAAGACAAGGAGGATTACCTTGGCTCGCCACACAAAGGTTGACACCGCCGCGCATCCGCCGCGCACATTGCCCCCCAACAATATTACCCTCCAAGTTGAAAGCGTACGCATCAGAGAGCTGGGCCATTTATTACATTCATCCTCCGATTCTAAAATTAATGGACCGAATTCCTGACATTACAAAACATAATATATTATGTAGATATATATACCTTTTTATAGCTCCATTTACATTATTGTTATTGCCCACATCTTGTCTAAGAGGATCAAGAATACAGCTTCAATGTAGTTTATATAAGTTTGTTTAAAAAGTTACATTCGATTGTTTATCTTAAACGGTGAACCATTTCGTTGAATGGTTATGTGCGATGCGGCGGCGGCGGCGGCGGCGGCAGTAGAGGCCGCGTCCCGGTCGCGCAAAAACCGCGTACGGCGACTTCAAAGCCGCCGGCTCCTGTTCTAATGACGGTGATTAAAATTAATTTGCACCGCGAGGGGCGCGCCGCCGAATTAAATTCCTCGACCTCTCCCCTCCCGCCTCGCTCGCCCCCCGCTTGTTCCCCGTACGACGGATGCGCGCCCTTCGAATAACTCGCGCTGATTATTTAACTCTCGCGTCAGATAAGAACCCCAGGGGAGCGACAGCGGAGCGGAGTGGAGTAGGAACTCGTAAGAGTTCGTAAGACTTCACACCGCACACCGGACACTGCGCTGTGCACAATGTATGCTGCTACATGTAGGCGTAAGCGAGGTCAAGTGTATAGTGCGCAGCCGCTCCGCCTTCCACAAACAGTGTGCATCAAATGCTGCAGCGCTGGCATTGTTTGCTTCGTACCAGCATAATCTGACTTTATGTCTATAGCATATTGGAAAGCAAACGCCGCGCCGTAAGGTTCCTAAACAATCCGGCAGCTGTTGCGTCTACGTACATACTTAAGGGATCCGATTGCCCGGGTGGAATCTGCACCAGCAACCTTCTTATTCCATTTATTCTGTTTAAATTTTGTATCAAACTTACCGTCTGCTTTAAATACGTATTTATTTTGTTGCAATTAACGCATATTTAAGTAAGTTTGTACTCAAGTGACTCTGTAGGGTTAAGTTATTCGCGCGAAGGTTTGAAAGTTGTTTTTTTCATTCAATTTGAGCGCTCGAATTGATCAAGTTCAATTTAATTTATTAGAAATCCTTCCATTAGCTCACACTATCGCTATAAATAAATGTATATATATATATATATACATATATACAGGAGGTTACGCAAGTGACGGATCAGATGCTTTGTGCGACCTGATGATGTACTAACGTCTATCTAAGACGGTATAACTCCAATTTATCTTCTACGATTTTCAGTAGATTTAAAGTTAATTTATTAAAAACTTTAAAATGCAGATAGATACAGAAATAATAAAATTATTTTATCCAACTTGACATACATAAGATATATTTTGTTACGTCGATGCCAGAACTATTTACCATTACAATTTTATTCACCTTGCAATTGTTTTCCATCATCATCATCATCATCATCATCATCATAATCAGTCTAGATTTATCCACTGCTGGACGTAATTGTTTTCCATATAAAAAATTATTAAATAGTCAAGTTCACAAATGTTTTGTAATTGTCATATATTTTGTAATTTAATTTGAATAAATTTGATTTTTCATAAAATATAAATGAAAAGTAATGAAAGCAGACAGACTATAAAACAAAATAAAACCTTTTTGTCATTATTTTATTATCGTCGTGCACTGCTGGTCACTGTCGGAGGCAGTTTGTCTGACTTTAGCTTTCACTTATTTCGCTATTTATATGAAAAATTGTTATTATAATATGTATTCAACAGTAGATTGTTCGTCCCGCTTCTTGAAGCTGCGCACTGTGGCACTCGGCACTGGTACACACTGGTGCGTAGATTTATGTATGAATGTGTTTTGTGACATTGTTGTGGGCAGATGGGGAGGCGCGGAGGGAGGCGGCGCGCCCTCGCGTGCGGCGACACACATAGGGGCGCCGGCCGAGGCGGTGCGGCATTTTTAATATGAAAGCGTAGATGCCAGCGAGTGATATATGTATGCTTAATTTCTTCCGCGAGGCAAGATATTTGTATGGGGATAGTGTTGTGCCGCACTGCCGGGCGAAGCCGTACGCAAGGAGCGGTTGCATCTCGTACGTTTACTTGCATGTATATGAATTTCGATTGAAAGATTGGGATCGCGTTACGTGCAGGCTCAGCGTCAGCAATCGGTACGACGGACGTCGGTAGAATTTTGAGAAACATAACTCAGGGATTCAAAGACGTGAAATGTTTGAAAGAATAGGAAAATACAGAAATTATTATACAAGATAAGACAATTTGATGAATGAAAGCTGTAGTGTAGTGTAAAATAAGTTCAGACAGCAGCGGGAGCACAATACCTTATGTTGTTAATTTGAATGGACACATTGCTATTATCGATATCGATAAAGTTTCGGTTGTCGCGGACCTTTGCGCGGTCGTCGGAATGTGAGGATCGCTGGCGGAACCTTTAGAGTATGGCGGCGGCGGGCGGGGCGGCGCGGGGTGTGGGGCGGGGCGG